AACATTTTTTTTATACTCTTGACCTAATCGAGATAGACATCGATTTATATATGTATATATATACGTATAAGATGGAGTCATGTGTAGAAATTTGCGCAAGTGAGGATAGTTCTCTGATTGTCATTCACTTGGGAATAGCCAGAAGCGAATCTTTTACATATGGCTCACGCAGCTCACGACTTCCGGTTYTAGACCAAATATCCTCTGGGTAGACAAAGAAAATCCGTCTGAAGTGAGCTAAAGTGAGAAGCGAAGCATCCCTCCTTAGGACATTGATTTCAGGACATTCACTTAAAATGTCCGGTCCTTTAATTGGGAAGGTGCCGCTGCCCAGATGGTTGATGTCCTCGAGAAAATAAAAGTTGACATCTCCGCCGTCCAAGAAGTGCGATGGACTAGGCTATGACTAAAACGAGTAGGTCCTTGTGGTATTTACTACAGTGGTCATATAAAGAAGCGCAAATTAGGTTTAGGATTCATGGTGGAAGAGAGACTCCGTCGCTGAATTCTGCCATTCACCCCCGTGGATGAACACCTAGACACAATCCGCATAAAAGCGAATTTCTTCTACATATCGCTGATTTACGCCCAAAAAGGTATGTTTGGCACAACGGTCGGTAATTCAGGCTCCGCTGAAACATCCCCAAATAGGTTTATTCTGATCGAAATATGGTTTGTAGTACTAGATACCTGCATAACAATATTTATCAAGCTACGTAGCAGTCTCTACTCAGACCACTATCTTGTTGCAGAGAAGACACACACCTGCCTCTCTGCAGCAAAAAACGTTCTTCAACAAACACAAGAAAGGTCTGACGACGAGAAGCTGCAATCACAACAGTCAGCCGAATGATTTTCGACTCGATGTACACTCCTGCGCTGAGAGCACTCAACAGCAACTCGGTATAAGGGAACTGTGGGACGGCATTTCAAGCTACAGCTGCAACTGAAACCAATGGTTTTCGGAAAATACAAAAGAGCAGCTGGTACGACGAGGAGTGCCGTGGTGCAGCGGAGAGAAAACAGGTTGCCTATCTGGCAACAATACAGACATCTGCAGACAGAAAAAGAAAGAGGCCGAAAAGCTTGATAAGCTGGCCGACAGGGGTTATGCTCGAAAACTCTACGAAAAAATGCGGCGGCTTACAGAAGGTTTCAAGACTGGAGCATACCTTATTTGCTGAATGGCAGTGAAGAACAACCAAAGAGCGGGGGCCGATGGAATGCAGGCCGAGCTATTCAAACAGGGCGGCGAAGAACTGATAAGGAGCATGCATCAGCTTTTTTGTAGAATATGGTCGGACGAAAGCTTATATGCACTACCCAATTACCGTGAAACTAATTAGTGTCGCTTTAGGCCTGCAAAATTAATAACCGACCAAATATTCATCATGCGCCAAGTCTTGGAAAAGAGAAGTGAGCAGAGGATCGACACACATCACCTCGTCGTCGATTTTAAAACTGCTTTTGACAGCAGGAAAAGGAGCTGCCTTTATGCCGCAATGTTTGAATTTTGTATCCCCGCAAAGCTACTACGGCTTTGTAAAGAAATATTGACGGCGCAAGAACATACTTGTATCGGAGAGGATCTCTTTTATTACGTATGTAGTAGTATTGGTTCGAATTCGTCCACCAAAGAAACACGTGTACCAATTTTCGTCAGGACGCCTTAATATTAATACAAAATCAACGTACTGAAATTTCAAAAAATTGCTTTTTTCTTCTCTTCTGGGAAATGTAAACGAAGTKTTTAGTTCCTCTTTGACAGCTTTATCCAAACTCGTTTAAAAGGTAGATTATGGTAACATGCCCGTTGTGATTTCTAGTCTGGCTCTAATAGCTTAAAATCATCATCCGGATTTCAAAATAGTAAAAAAATTAAATTTAAGGATATGGTTAGTTCCGGACATAGACAAGTCTATAAAACAGACTATCTTACTTACTTATTTCAGGGAAATCGGTCCAGTAGAACTTGAGAAATCGTTATCGTTTTGTAAAAGGCTGTTTGAAGAAAAATGTTTTAAGTGGACACTAAACTGGTCAAGTTCCAATGAAACTAAAACAAATATAACTTTAAAAAAAGTTGAAGTTTGAAAGATCCTCTTAGAGCGAGAATATCTAAACTGTGAAAATATATACGAATTATTTTTTAGACATTTTAAAATTGTTACACTAGAATACCTACTTAATTAAATCGCTTATATGTATTTTATTATATTTTAGTTCTCTTTAATGTGTAGTTTTCTTTAAATTCGGAAAGATTATTTAAGAATTGAGATTACCTTTCATTCAATGTCAATCTTCTTTCTTTTACTATACATTTATTTTTATATCTATTACTAAGTCATGCTACTGTATGTTTTTTATTTTTTATTGTACTGAATATTATTAAGTGTTTTAATTTAATTCGTGTAAAATCATTTTGCAATATGTGTTGACAAAATATAATAGTTTTGTTCACCCAACGGTTGTTGAGTTCTAATCTGTCTAWTCTAATTTTGCCGTTCGTCATAAATTTTGTATCGCTGAGTGTCGCTTGGCAATTTCTTTCATTATATCAACCAACAACTTATCGGTATTACTTAAATATACACAACTATTTCCTTCATAATAAACGCTAACTATTCTAGTGTAGGAATCGAATTTTCGGCAGTTTTTTGAATTTTATTAAAAAAAAACGAAAAAATATGTTTACCATTCATTTTTATGGTGCTTTTATTGATATCTTAAGAATACAGAAAAACAATTTTACAAAAAAAGTATTAAAAATTAAAATAATTAGAGGGGAGGAGAGACAGGTTGAAAAAATAAATGGTACATCTGGTGGCATTGATCCTGACTCTCCTGGTGGTCTGAAAAAAAATCAAAAGAAATTCTTAATAAGTAAGGATGCTGTTATAGTCCCTACCTCAGGGAACGATTTTTAAAAATGGTGACTGCCTGAAAATAAAAATCATTTTTGACGCTTTTGTTTGAAATTCCTGAATTTTTTTGAAAATATTAAAAACAAAAATTTTGACACGATGCTGGTAGGAACGATAAAGGATTATATAAAGAAGATTCACACAAAATTTCAAGTAAATCGGTTGTAAAGAACTTGAGGTAATGCCGGTACCGTGTGGAAAAAATTAGTTTCGAGAAAAACGCGTCTAAAAAAGTGAKTAAAATTTCAGGCAGTCTAAGTCATTTATTAGTGTGCTAGGTACAGCGGATATGCTCTTAATTGTCTAAACTTTGAATATATGAAAAAAATCGAGTTTTCCAAAATACTAGAGTGAAATACCCCCTTAACTCGTAATTTTAAATTTAATAGTATTTGCTCTCAAATTTGACGATCTTCAGCACATTGTTGTATAATGTTGATTTCAATTGTCGTTTATGGAATGTTTATCTCTGCATTTTTCGATTGACAATGTGTTGGTATAAAATAAAGCACAAATCGCTTTATTTCTTGTCTGTTGTTGCTGTAGATGTAGGTACGCATTTCTCTACTGCTTTAGTTGTTCCACTATATCCAGTGGAAAAGCTTCCGTTTGTGGCTATTCCATCCTTGTGTCGTGAAATACTTGTTGCTTCAGTCGTCTAATGGTTGTATTTTTATTGTGACTTTATGGTTAACGCGTTCTAACTAGGCACTACGCTTATCTGGTGGGGTGAAAAACCGGTGGTTCACAGGCAAATTCATTTATATGGTGGAGTTGATCGTGGAAATAAAATATATTAGGGAAATGTATATTTGTTTTAGGCGTTTTCAACATACAWATTTTATATTTTTTATAGTTGTTTCTAAAACAAAACAATTAGAATAGAGCCGTTATATGAACAACTTGACAATCTTGTGCACACCATGTACATACAATGTGTAGAAATATAAATAAAAATAACATTACTTTACAAACACTCTATGTTTCTGGTATTCCGTTGCACTTTAGATTAGTTTACACTTAGTAACTCTTCACCGTGTTCTTTATTCCTTAATATGTTACAACTTGGAGTGTCCGGTCAAGGTTTCATTGGCTACAAAATCGCAAGTTTTATATGGGTGTTGTTATTTATGTTGTTTATATCACTTTAATATACAGTTATATAGATATTATACATATATAAATGTTGAGACGAGTTGAAATCCGAATGACTAATAATCGGACCACTGCCACGGCCACAAAACGTCATTAAACGAAAACCTAACAGTGTCATAACTAAGAACTAAAATAAGATATGGAAATGTAATTTGGCACATGTATCCCAGTCGCATGGCTACCTCCGCTCTCCGTATAAAGGTACTGTTAAATTACTAAAAGCGCGATTCATCAAAGACTAAATACGCCAGACACATTAAAYTTTACACCCAGGATGATAAAAGCGACTTTATAGGAGTCAGAGTCCCCGACCACACTTCGGTGATAATCCATATCTCAGGACTTTCTTGACCATATTTGGGTGATTATATTATCTTGACATTCCTAAGTTTCCTGTTTCAAAATGAGCTAAGTCGAGATACAAACATGCTTACTTCCCATATAACACAATTTTAAATTTCATTTGATTCCTTGGCTTTCAAATATACAAATTAAAAAACAATTTATTAATTAGCGTGATAAAACTTTCTACAAAAAATTTTCTTGAAGTATGTCACCTAGTTAACAAAAATTGCCCAAATTGAACCAAAACTGTTCAAGCCCCTACGTGCTGAATATGTGGACAATAYTGCCAATAGTATAGTTGACTTTTAACCGAAAATATCAGTCAATGTATGAAATATATAATTGAAATTTGGAAATAATTCTTTCCTGGTAGTTGGTCCACATATACCTAATATAAAGATTTGAAAATAATAAAAATTAAGGTTTTAAACCGGATTTAATCCTTGCAAGTTGCAAGAGTCGAAATGTTCGGTTATACTCTTCCTTACTTATGTTAAATAAGTTTGTTACAAGGTATTGAAATTTATTTATGTTTCTTTTCGTTTATAATATTTATAATTTCTATATTATTTTCAGAAATTTTACCGTTATAATCAACTTTCTAGAAAACCAGAGGAGGAATCAGATGATACTAAGGTGTGCGTTGTACCATATTGGTTAATTTTTAAAAAGACTTCTTTACAACTATACAATGTGTTTTTCACATTCTTCGTGACATTATCGATATTTCCTTCCGTACACTCAGGTAATGTTTTTAATGTGAATGTTTAAAAAATAGTATTCAATTTAGTAATAAATATAAATTTATCATTAGAGATGTGGAATTTCGCATTTGTCAAATGTAAATTATAGAAAGAACTCCTATCTTTAATTACAATTATTTATTATAAATGTTATTTTTGTTTCTGCGGTTAAACACTTGCACGCAGGTGATCCGTATTAGAACTATAGGCTTCATCTAAGCCAGGATGGTTATTTGTTTTTATATGCATTTTCATTAAAGGATAAAGAGGAATAGTAAATTATTGTAATGAGTGGTGTGGCGGTAGAAATTCAAATGATTTAATTGATTTAACAAAATTATTCTTCTCCAAAGCGATTACTTCTTGTCTCTTGGGACAAAAAATATATGCAACTTTGTTCAGCGACAAATGTCTGTATATGTATCCAAAATATATTTAAGGGTTTTAAGTTATAACGACCCGAAAACATAGCGTTCAGAGTTGTATTTGCGTAAWTTTATTTTAGTATTCAATCCAGCAACAAATTTTTAAAGTAGTGAGTACCCCAATTAAATACATTTGATGGAAAAACTGTGTCGACTATATTATTTGAGATGAGTAAAATCTATTGATGAGTCCTGGTTCCGGGAGATGGGCACATAATTGCCGATTTAGTCGTAGGAACATAATGTCTTGCAGTAATTAGTGCATTGCTCTAATGCGTTGACATTTTATAGAATGTGAAAAACTTTGATCACAAAGTTGATTCATTGCTACAAAATTTTAGTGAGTGAGTGGGGCGAAGAAACGTGTTTTTTTGAGCAATTCTTCGGAGAGTCTAAACAAGGTCTAACACTGAAGTTATCAAAACTGAGAAGATTTTCTCTATCAGCAACAGGAAATTCGCTAAAACAACTGATATATCAGAACACCACTTTTTTAACTGAATACAGGCATTATATATTAATATTGTAGTTTACTGCTTGATCGGATCTTACGGAGAATAGTTTATGAATCCAGTGGATAAAAACAAAATTTAAGAAAAAGTAGCTGAAGTTTAGTCGGTATTTCCAGTAAGTAACTTTATCTAACTAAAATATGCGCACTTCTTGCTTGGACTTGAAAATTTTACATTTTGAAGTGAGAGAGTATTCAATAACAAATCTATTCTAATTGGTGTTAACTTCTACACCAACATATAAAGACCAATAAAAACATGGAGAAATTCCAAACAATTTCAACCCGGACGTTTCACAGTGGGAAATACAAATCTCTTTCAATATATTTGCGTGACTGTAGTTCTATTGCTATTGTGTCTAAACTTTATGCCATTATGGACTCGAAGAATTATCACATAATGCCACACAAACCACAATAAAAGCATGAAAAGATAAACGTTTCATGGAAGTAGTAAATTTTTTTGTACATTTCTTCTGTATATTCTTTTTTTTCAATCCCATCATGAAATTTTCTTTGGAAATACCCTAAACAAATTCCCTGAAAATTTTAGCCTTAATATTAACATTAAAGACTGGACCAAGGCATGTAAAAACCTGGCTCTAAACCCGACTTTTCCAAGAATTTCGTAACGGGACTGAAAACCATTAATAGTTAAAAAAACAAACACCCTAATATATATATATTATTATATATAGATAGTATCTGTATTGAATTCATTTGTTACAAAAAATGTGATAAATGAAGAACCGCTTTATCGATTTTGTACAAACTTCACATAAACCATCTACTTAATGGTCCGACCAAACCCTAAAGCTTTGGTTTGGATAGGTGAAGTCGCTCTTAAATGGTATGTAAGTATATATATATATATTGTTATTTTCCTCGCTAGATAGCTCCGAGGATAAACGCGTCCGATCGCTGCTGCGGCCTCCGACGCGCTATCTATACGCATGCAATTTTTAAATTTGTAATATCTTTGAAAATATTMATTTAAACTACAGGGTGGCTGATGAAAGCCGCTACCAAAAAAATAAAAGTAACTAACTTTCTTTCTATTTAATGAATCTGGTTAATTATTTTTTTTATTTTGCAGATTGACTTTTACATTTAACAAAAATGGATAAATGGGACACTGAAACAATAATTTGGACTGTCCGCCGCTATCACGCACTGGAGTCCGTAGTTTCGGTTCAAAGAGAGTATAGGCGCACGTTTGGCGGCAATCCTCCGAGCAGATGGACCATAATGAGACTTGTAAACAATTTTGCCGAGCATGGGATAGTCAACAGAAGACCTTATCAACGAAACCCTTCAGTTCGAACGGAGGAAACAATCGCTGCTGCCATACAAAACAATGCACGGTGTAAGCAGACAGTCAATTATGCACAARGATTTGGACTTATTCCCATATAAAATTCAAATGGCCAACAAAATGAATGCTACAGACTTGCCGATTCGCTTGGAATTTTGCCAGAAGATGCAAATTCAAATGGTAGAAGAGGATGGGAACATGTTGAATTATCTTTTCATGTCTGACGAGGTCCATTTAAACGGAAACATAAACAAACAAAATTGTCGAATATGGGGTGCTTCCAACCAACAGAAGCTCCATGAGATGGAATTGCATCCACTTCGTGTCACAGTGTGGTGTGCAGTTTCATCACGCTGCATTGTTGGGCCCTACTTTTTCGAAGAAAATGGTCACACCGTTACGGTAACTGAAGACCGTTACTTGAGCATGTTGCGAGAGTTTTTCTATCCAGAATTACGBCGAATGAGAATTTCTTTCAACTCTGTGTGGTTTCAGCAAGATGGTGCAGTTATGACAGAATTGCGACGAAAATTTCCCAATAAGCTGATATCCAGAAACTCCACATTTCGTTGGCCACCCAGGTCGCCGGACCTTACTGCACCCGACTTTTTCTTGTGGGGTTATTGCAAACAGGAAGTCTACAAAGCAAAACCAACAAATTTGAATGAACTAARGCAATCCATTCGAGAAACAATTGCGGCTAATCCTGTCTCAACTCTCCACGCAGTAATGAACAACTTTTTGGTAAGATGCCGCACATGCATCAACCAGTAGGGGGGCATTTAAATTCCTTTCTTTTTTTTAACTAATTAAGCTATATTTAATAAAATTGAATGAGCTTTAATATGAATAAAAGAAAAATTAATGTAGCAAAATTCACCAGCCACCCTGTTTACGCTGTAAAGGGCCATATAGTTCTATATAAAATCAACAGTGTATTTCAGCGATTTAATTGGATTAATGCTGTATTGGTTAAAATCACTTCGGAAATTAGGCATTATTTGTCGTAAAACGAAAATGAAAGAGAAATGTTAATGTGGAATATCCATAAGAGATAGACATATGCATACTTTCGCAGTTTCGAAAATCGGCGTTCGTTTTGTTTTTTCCACCAACAACGCATTTTTGTGACACTTTGACGTCGCTAATAAATATATAATTTGTAAAGTCTATATTAACTACCTACTTAGGTAGTAATACAAACTTTACTTCATTATATATTTCAAAGGGTGTTTCAACATCAAATAGATCAGTTTACACATATATACTTACATATGTGTTTCGATATGAAATATATACAGAATATATGCATATATATTATATTCACACTCATTTACGCGATGTAGATAACTACTACTTTACTGAAGTTTGAGGTATTCCTCATGCTCTGGTTCCCCCGGCGGGTAATGCGTCGAATACCTTCAGAACTGGAGTGTTTTCGTCCATGCGGACGACGTGAGCTAGCCAGCGTAGCCGCTGTCTTTTAATTCACTGAGCTATGGCAATAGTTTTGTATATCTCATATAGCTCTTCGTTCCATCGAATGAGATATTCGCCGTAGTCAACGCGCGACCCTCGGTTCAGCTGTTCTTTTGCATTTTCCGAAAAATAATGGTTTCAGTGGCAGCTGTAAGTAAAAAGTTTGAAAAGCCGTCCCACAACTCCCTTATACCGAGTTGTTGACGAGTGCTCTCAGGCAACGAAGTAGAAAAACGTTCGGCTATCTGTTGTGATTGCAGCTTCTCGACGTCGAACCTTGTGTTTGTTGACGTGCGTTTTTTGTTGCACAGAAGCGGGTGCAAATCTTCGCTGCAACAARATAATGGTCCGAGTCGTTGTTATGACCTCGGAGCGTACGCACGTTTAGAAGACTGGAGACGTGTCTTCCGTCTATCACAACATAATCGATCTGGCTGGTGGCTTTTCGATCCGGAGACAGCCAGTTAGCTTGATGTATTTTCTTGTGCTGGAATCTGGTATCACAGATAACTATATTTCGGGGCCCGGCGAAGTCGATCAGCCTCAACCCATTTGGGGATGTTTCCTCGTGGAGGCTGAATTTTACGGCCGTAATGCCGAAGAGGATGGAGATACCTTCTTTGCCCACCCTGGCGTTAATCAGCGGCGTGGGCGCAAATCAGCTATAGGTTGAAGTACCTCGCTTTGATGCGGATTGTTTCTAGACGTTCATTTATCGGAGTGAATGATAGTACTTGGACTCAGACGAGTAGGTCCTTGTGGCATTTACTACAGTGGCCATATAAAGGAGCGGAAGTTTAATGGGWGGCTCGGAGTCTCTCTCCCACCAGAATCCCACACCAAACCTCCGCGCTTTTATATGGCCACTGTAGGAAATGCCGCAAGGTCCTACTCATCTGAGTCCTTGTCCCGTCCATCGCATTTCTTGGACAGGGGTGATATCAGGCCTCACTCTAACGAGGACCTCAGCCATATCGACAGCAGCACCTTTCCAATTAACGGACCGGACATTCCAGGTGCATGCCCTCAAATCTTAGTCCTTAATTCGTTTGCCATGGTCGTCACTTTAGCTCGCCTTCAAGCGGATGTTCTTAGGCTACCCAGAGGATACTTGGTCAACGACCGGAAGTCACGAGCTGCTAGAGCCAGATGTAAAATAATCGTGTCTGGCCACTCCTAACTGAATTTCGATCAGAGAACTTTCCTCACTTTCGGAAAATCTACACATGACTTCATCCTCAGTTGTAAGTCTACATTCCTTAATATTGGAAT